GGTGATCTATGCCTGGAGATTATGAACTATTCTTTCCTTGGTGCAAAATTAGTCAACTTACCATAAAGAAGCCAAAGGATATAAGGCCACTCTTAATATTCCGCACATCTTCGGTCATGAAACGCACCATTAAGAGGTATACCTGATATACCCAGCGTATTTTTTTGCTGAAATGCAAAGGATTTTTGAAATATTTTCTATTAGTTATTGGGTAAGAGCTATAAAACCTACAAGTTCTGCACATGTTTCAGATAATCCCCACTGTAATTGCGGGCCAGTAACCAGCTTCCGCTATAGAGTCCATCCGTCTCGTGTTCATATTTTGCCCGGAGGACAGCCCCAGCATTCTCCTTTCCGTCCTTATCCGCCAGGGTCTTAAGGTAAAAATCCGCGGGATTGCAATTCAGAGGAAGCTCATAGCCCAAGCTGAAAAAGTATATTGCTATCACATTAAATGTAAACTCTTGATGAGATTAAGCCACTCACTCTGTGAAGAACTTGGCCGCCTGTTCGGTGCGTCCTTGGTAGACTATCCTACCACCATCCATCAGGATGATGTGGGTGAAAAGCTCGAAGATGTCCGACGTAGGCTGGTGGATGGAGCAGATGGCCGCCTTCTTGTGGGTCCCGTTCGGACTGTTGTTCAGGATTCCCAGCGTCGGAAGTTCCCGCATCGCCTGCAGCAGACTCTCATGGGATTCGGCCACCACCTCCATTTCGATGGACTTACTTCCACTTCCACTGGAACTACTCTCGCCACTCGGCGTCTCGAAGGAGTCCTCGCCATAGACCTGGTTTAATGAGTGCTTCGCAATGCGCCTTCTCGTGCACAAGTGCCTTAATGTTTTGATCACCGAGTAGGCACTAAAACTATCCAATCCCGTAGTGGGTTCATCGCAGAACAGGAATATGGGATCTGTGATCAGCTCCTCTGCCAAACTCAGTCTCTTTCTTTCTCCGCCCGACAATTGCTGAATACGGGTATGTGCCGAATCCCTTAAACCCACTGCTAGAAGTAGATCCGCCACCCTTTGACGCTTCTCCGACTTGGTAGTGCGTCGGTGCATCTTGAAATGGGACTGAGAATGAGGGGCTGATCAGTTAAATAATAAATGCCTCTAATAGGGAATAGGAATTACTATATTAACTAGGAAATATGAGTAATTGTTTCTGAGTAACAAAGTTTTAATAACCTTTAGCTTGTTATAAATTCTTTTTAATAAGGTTTCTTCATGATCATAAACCCATTGGCTCGAAAAACTTCAATAAGTATGTATAAAGGACCCACCATAAAATAAAGATGCTCGTAGGCCGTAAATGTCTTTACGTTGATCTCGAACTGCGGCAGAAAGCTGGAGATGCGCGTCATCTGATGCCGTTCCATGGCCATGCCGTTCAAAACCACATCGCCGGTCAGGTTACCGCGCAGCCGTTGCGAAATTGCCGCCAGCAACGTGGTCTTACCCGCACCGGATCCGCCCAAGATGGCGATGAGGTCGCCGGTCTTCATGTGCCCGCTGGCTGCAAATCAAATCGATCCAAGCCGAACCGCAAATCAGTCCCATTCCCATAGCCACATCCACATCCGGAGCATTGACTCACCGTCTTGGAGAATCCGTAACTCCCGCTTCTTGCGGCACTCGTTCCAGAAGCTATAGTTGCTCTGCTCCTGGGCGGGCACATAGTAATTAAGCTGCTTCCACTCGAGGCACAGCGATGGACCCTGTCCCCTGTCCGAAGAACCTCCAGATTCCTGCATTTTAATACAATCTAAGGGGGGGTTCAGTCACCTCGCACTGCAACTTTTGAATCTCAGGCTATTTGATTGTTCGCACTTATCGCCTCCAGAGCAGGCTTATCTTATCTGAGGGTCGGCCGCCTACAATGTATTTGCATATCTGCCTGGGATCTTTGGGGGGAAGGGATCGGAGAAACCTTAAATCTGTCTGGGAATATCGCGGTCAGACGCAGTCAGTCGACTGTTCGCGTTGAAGACTTGGCGGCAACTGGGCAACGTTGATGCCGGCGACATGGTTTTCTACCCCCCACAAAATCCATCACCCATCCCCCGCCCATTTTTCCTCCCACCCCCCTGAGTAACATTAAACTTTTGACCGCATTTGGGTTGCCAGCTAATTGTCGCTTATCAATTCACATAGTCAAACGGCGGCAGTTCAGCGGTGTCGGCCAAAGAGAGTCGGTCGTTAAGGTGGTGCAGTCGACTATTGAGGTGGTTCGCCATCAGTTTGTGGTCGCCTCTTCGCCACCAGCGCCTCACATGGCCCAAAACCAGGCGGAGAAGAGTGAAGAGGTCCAGCAGCATGTTGTAAATGAGCACGTGGCCCATCTCCACCAGACCCATCACGCTGACGCCTACGAAAAGGGCCAGGACACCTCCAAAGGATACTAGAAAATAAAATATTATCAGAAACTGTCTTACCTTAAAAAACCGAATTTTTAAAATATATTTTTCCTTTCTTTTTATTTTATGTTATTTTTAGACTCTAAACTATCTGTTTAGAATCGGTTTTGAAATGAGATCCGATTGACTATCGTTTCAAATATTACATGAGTCAGGAACAAAACTTTAAAGAATACTTACCCACTAAATCCTCGAAACTGTAGACCACATCCCGGCGCATTCGGACCTTCGGAGGGATCAGATCCCAGCGGAAACTTGAGGTGGCTGTTTCGCTGCTAGCCACCTCCTCGTTGTTCTTCACGCCCCAGGAGCTCTTCTTCACCGTCTGCATGGTGTACTCGATTTCCGTGCAGGTGGAGGGGCACTTGCAGATGTGCAGTGCCCAGATGGGCCACTTAAAATCCAACAGGCACTCGAATCCGGCGGGATTACAACTGGGTCCCTCGACATACGGATAGAAAAAGGGCACGCAGTTGCACATCTCCAGAGCCATCACCGCACGACATCTTGCCAGGCACAAGGATTTACTGTAGATCTATTTGTATCAATCAGAGTTAAGGTATTAAGAAAGTTATTGGACAGTCTAAACTGTATAACCACGAATGAGAGAGCCACATTTATAATAAATCAACAAACTAATGAGACTACAACAATATCTGTGTTTGATTTCTTCTAAAGAGGCAATGTGGGATATCAGATCTAATAGACTTATCTTATAAAACCAAATAATTATAAACCAAATATTTAAATAACGAGCACGTGTTTTATAATATATATAAACTTTTTATGCATTTAAGGTAAGATGCAGCTGAGGAATATTTGAGTTCCTTGCACTGATACGGCTTATCAAGTGCTGCTTTTTTATTTGACTTGAGAATTTAAATTATTTGACTTGGGAAATTTGTTTATTTGCCGAACCGAAACGCAGGCCATCGCTCCAATACCAGAGCATCTTGGACCCCAGCCAGATAAGGTAGTCATAAATACCTTTAGGTTTGAGGTCTCCTCGTTGTTGAACACACACTTGCGCTGCGCCACGCTCAGTTGGCGTAAGTTTGTCGATGCCCTGGAGATGGGGGTTAGCATATAAATAAAGAGATGATACTGTCTGGATGGGAGTGATCTGGAAGTCTGGTCTACTTACACCGTTTCGAGCACCTTGAACGAGGCAGTTATCTCGTCGGATTTGTGCAGGGCCACAATGTTCGCCTCTGTGGCCGAAACCTCAAATGGCGAATGGACGTCCAGCTGCAAGGTTGATTTCATATTTTACTCAGAAACTATTCAATGGCGACCATTGTGCATCACCCACCACGCCCGTGCTTTCATACAGATCCATTCGGATGTAGCACTGCTGTTTGCCATACTGGCAGGACAAGGGCTGTGGCATCAACTCATAGGCAACGGGCCTGAAAAGGAGAGAAGTCCTTGATTGGAGGAGGATCACACCTAAGATCCCCATACTCACTGGCCACTAAGCACCGTGGACATGGGTGAGTTGATGGCGTAGCAGGCTCCTCGTTCCGTCATCACCCTCTGCACATGGACCTGGAAACCGGAGTCAAAGCTGCTGATGACCTGCTCAAAGGGTCTGTCCACCCGCTCTATCATCTCGTACAGATCAATTTGATCGAAACGTTCGTCCTCGGCGAACTTTGCTAATTCCGCGTAGTTACCAGCCGTGGCATTCACTACCGCATAAAGAAAGTCCATGAAGTAGAAGTAATCCTCGTCGATGATGGACACATTCCACACGTCCTGTATGTATTCATTGGCTTTAAAGGAATCAATGTGATCGTAGTAGCACAGAGTGACTGCCGGCAGGGATCCATTCCAACCGCGGTAGTCCCGATCCACGGAAATCACAGTCGGTGAGCTGAAGTAGCGCTCCAGCTGAAAGCGACTGAGGATCAGAGCGGTGATCACACTGCTAATGACCACCACCAGCCAAAAAAGCCGCTCCAAAAAGTGAATACTCCGATTGACGCACAAACTGACTGCCAGGAGACCCGTTTCAGCTCCGGCCTGAGCCACCACATCCCGCAACCGACCGGAGTAACTCACACAGCCCGCTAGGCATAGCCACAGAAAAGCCCATAGTCCTCGGAGAATCCTGGTAGACATTCTCCTAATCCAAAGCCACAGTCGTTGGTTGGTCATTTTGGCCAAATGAAAGCAATGGCTTGTCTATCTGCGCTTTTATTCTAACGTGAAATACTTTTGGCCCCCATTAGTGACTTTTTTCCCAGCCTGATTTCTAACATTAAAGGACAAAAGGCAATCAAAGACCTCCCCTAAACGTTGGCTTACATCAAAATATCTACAAAAAAAAGGAGTAATAAAAGTAATTTTAATGTCTTGCTCAAAATAAAAACTATAAGCTAAGGCAAAATAGGTTTATTTTGTATTATGTACAAATATATTAGAAATTGATTCTTTAAAAATTACTTTATGTATTTCTCCTCCTATCAAAAATATACCTATAATATACATACTTTATGAAAAAACAGACTCTTTTTACTTCATTACTATATATTTTTTCCATTTATTGAAAGCGCATTTATTTTAGATATTTTATTCACACAAAAACCCAACTGGATCTGTTGAGGGCAACACCCATTAGCGATTTATTTCCCAGTCCGATTTGTATGAGAAAAATAACAAAGGCCATCAGAACCCCAATAAACTGTTGGAGGACAAAAGGAGTACATTAATTGTTGCAACAAAGGGGTTAATTGGGCGACTTCCACCCACTTACCCCGCCCAAACTGAGTGTATCCAATGTCACGATTCCACAGGCTTCCAGGGGTTGAACCAAACTCGTCTCGAGTTGCAGCAAAAAGCGATTAATGGAAACTTGTAGCTGGGAACTGCAAATCTCCAACTCATTTAGCAGCTGACAAAGGTTGCATTTCTGGGGGTTACATAAGAATTATAAATCAAAAGAAAATAACCTTAATAGAACAATGACTACCTCTTCTAAGATCTGCTCGTTGACAGACAGAATGAACCAGATACGACTGCCATGCATGGTTAACCAAAGAAACCTGTAGATTAGCAAAGTGGTCTCTTCCCATACTGGATTCTCAAAGAAGCTGAAAACCAAGTACATTTCCATACAAACACTGACAAGAGAATTGACAAAGTTTAGCAAAAAAAAGATTCCAAATTTAGATATCAACTGTTTGTGGAGCATGTCAATTATATTGCACTTAGATCGCATTTCGTCAATCAACTGCGTGGAACCACCACCTGCGTCCACTAGAACAGCAAAAGCGGACTCATATCGAGCATCCAATTTGGTTAATTCCAGAACTGGTCTCTGGCGCAACTTCAACTCCTCCAGGCATTTCCTCATCTGCTCCAGCAAAAGTCGCAGTAAATGTACAGGAAGAGCATATTGGAGTAGCCCCAGACTCAACATTATAGCAGGCAGATTAAAGACACTATTGCTAAGCCAAGAAGTCCAAAACATAAAGTCATGGTTGACTATATCCACCAGCACACACACACCGTGAAAAACTGTAGCTAACACCATGAGATGAAGAGTCCTCTGACCATGTTTCTTGTACATATCACAAATAGCTTTGCTATCATGTCCTCTAATCAAGCGATGAATCTGCAACTCCGCTTTCTGGGCAGAGGAACAGTTGACTACGGCATGAAAAATCAGAAAACCAATAAGTGACATATTTCCCGGGAACTCCATCGTGTAAAGAACTCTTTCGATAGTGGGCATCTCCAAGTTGAATTCAACACACTTCCAAATGCTTCCTGCCCAGACATATGATAGCAAAAACAGGCACCAAAGAGAGTGGATCCAACGATGGATTCCACTTCTTCCACTCGGAGATACCCCAAAAAATCTGTTGATATTCAGGAGGATATTCTGACAACGCTGGCTACACGAACTGTTCATCCTGAGGTGATTTTAATTAATGGTAATATGTGGTTTAAGGGGTTTCCATTTAATTGATGTGATTAATGATTGAGTTGAAGGACTTGACGTCCTCAAATTATTGTGAGAGCTTATAAATCCTCAGTAGTCATCATGTGGAGCTCGAATAAACTTCAAACCAAACGTGCTAAGCTTAAGGCTTGGTCAAGAGAAGGGTACTAATAGAACTAACAAAGGAAATATGCTAAAACTATAATTTTAGGTCATCTTCCCACCATCAACAATACATGGAACGATTTCAACAGCTAAATAATACCCTGCATTGGTTCCTACTCATCTCCGTATTGGCAAATACATTGCCCATCACTATTCTACCTGGCTGCCTCAATAGATTCTACCGATTGCTCCATTTATGTTGGATGATTTTCGCTTATGGATGTTTCTCTTTGGTTTGTTACTGGGAATACGTGCTCGTCACTTTACAAAGGGTTTCCCTCGATCGCTATCTGAATGCCATTGAATCTGGAATCTATGTGATCCATATTTTCATCATTATGTTACTCACTTGGCAAGGAAGAAAGTGGATGCCAAAAGTCTTAAAGGATATTGTTGAATCCGATATGGAAAGGGTTTATCCCATAGATTCCAAGAGAACCAAGAAGTTTATTATGCTGCAGCTGCTCCTAGTCTCTATTTTTACTTGTCTAGCCTTTGTCTTTGATATTTGGAGCAAGAGTGGTGTGTTCTTGAGATCTATCTTGAGTATTAACAACTATGTGATGCCTAATATCATAAGCAGCTTATCATTTATTCAGTACTACCTCCTGCTTCAAGGAATCGCGTGGCGTCAGAGGAAAGTAACCGAAAATCTGGAGTGGGAATTGTTGCAATCACTTAACCCACGGATCGCGGAGGTTCAAAGATTTCGCCTCCAGCATACAAATTTAACCAAGTTCACCAAACTGGTTAACAGAACGTTTCAGTACTCAATTGTTCTCCTCTTCGTTGGCTGTTTCTTGAATTTTAACCTTGTGTTATTTTTCCTATACCAGGGGGTTGAAAACCCAGACTTGGCCGACTTGGCCAAGTGGTTATACATGATTATATATCTGTCCATGCATTTGGGAAAGGTTTTCAGCATCCTTTACTTCAATCACAATATTCAGAATGAGGTGAGTAAACTAAATATTTATTTTAAAACATAAACTGTATTTAGCTTTTAGCAGTCCAAATGCTTGGCCTTGTTAAATGGAGTGTCATGTACTGGCAGTGATCTTCAGGAGACTATAAACCATTTTATTCTCCAAATGCGGACGAATGTGCGACAGCATGTGGTGGGTGGAGTCATCGTACTAGACCTGAAGTTTATAACTGCTGTAAGTTTGGATCATTCAGCTTATTTTATTTCGTTTTAAATACTTATTTTATAGTTGCTAGTGGCCTCTGCCGATTTCTTCATTTTCTTGCTGCAATACGATGTCACTTATGAGGCTTTGTCTAAATCTTCGCAAGGAAACACTACTAAAACATAGGAGCAATTTAATGGAAATGAAGATCACGAAAGAAATTTTTTAATATAAAAACATTTTTTTAGTAATTTTACGAAGTCGTGACTTAAATAACTTAAATATTCTATATTCACTTGGATTAGTTTAAATATTAAATAATTATAATATTGCATTTTGCAGGTAAATAATTCGATAGATTGTCATATTTATTAGAATGTCCTAACATATACATACATTCAAGTGAAGTAGTTCCTTCAAAATAATTATTAAACTCTAAAGATATTTACTTATTAATGTTTGGGGGTTTATCGTTGAAAAGGTTGAAAGGAATTGTATAAAAATAATTATAGAGGTCAATTATAGTCATTAGATTTAAAAAGACCGCCCACGGCTATATCGATAGAAAAAGTATCGATAGTTTTCAGGGTGCAGACCAAGAGTGCAACCCTGATTGCGGGTCTGGAGTATCTTGTTTTTTTTGCACGCAAATAACTTTAATTTCATTGACCATGTGCGACGTTGCAACAGTGCAGAAGATTGCCAATTGCCTGGGCGTAAATCCTGGCAAGGTGCAGCTCAACGAGGAGCAGGTACGTCGCGCACAGCTGGCCGCCAAATCATATAATTCCTACCATCATCAATTTATTTTCTGTTGTGAAGGTCGTAACGCGCACGAGTGGCCAAAAGAAGAGCGTGGCCGGATTCGCCACAATCCTTGAGAGCCTGGCCAGCGAATCCAAGTCGGAGACGGCCCAAAACAGCAAGACGTCCCGGGAGGTGGAGGCCCAGGTGTACCAGTGGATCGAGTTCTCCGTCCTCTACGTGGCGCCCGGTTCCAAGGACAAGTATGTGTCCAAGCAACTACTGGCAGACTTCAACAAGCTCTTCGCCAGCAAATCCTATCTGGTGGGCCACTTCATCACGCTGGCCGATCTGGCTGTCTACTATGCCATCAACGATCTGGTGGTGAGTTCATATCCAACAAGTTCGTTTGAAAGGTGGTATATTTTGTCTCTTAGTTTTAAGGCTTTAGACCAAATACAGAAACTTTCAATTTTGTAGGCATGACCAGAACGTTTTTATACCAATTATTTGGAATTAATTTATCCAACACATCATATATATTTTTTTAAGATAACTAATTTATACTTTGGCTATTCTCAGTTTAAAACCTATGCATAATAGGACTTTCAAAATAAAATTTACAAAAATTATTATATTCTGAATTACTATAACAGAAATCTAGATCAGGATTTGATTAACCAAAATGCAAAATAATAGTTTACTAACACGTTACCTATAATTTTTCGTTAACCCCTTGTCAATCTTTTCAGAAATCCCTATCGCCGGTGGAGAAGGAGGCCTATCTGAATCTCTCGCGCTGGTTCGATCACCTCCAGAACCGCCCGGATGTCCATCAGGGCGAGCCGCTGCTGAACTTCACCACCATCTATTTGCACGGCTGGGCCACCGGCACTCACATCTAATCCCTCGAAACTTCCGCATCCATTCACGTCACAAATGCGACACTTAAGTTATTTATTTCTATTGCATTTCACAATGTAGTTTTGTGTGTGATTATCATTTAATGCCAATGAGAGAGTTCAGCGTTGGAATATGAAAAATCGTTATTGTAGCCCACATTACGAGTTGTTCTTTTGATAATCGGATCTCAGCCGTTGCTCCGGATCACGTGCCCTAGCGTTGCTGGTCGCCGGTGCAGCGTGGGCAGTGTAGCAGCGACTCCTGCTGCGCCAACATCAGTTCGCCTGGACTTCGCGCGGCGAGCTGAGGGAATTGCCCATATCCGTGGGCTCCGTGCACTTCCAGAGGCCGTAGGTCTTGCCCACGGTGGTCTGCCACAGCCGGAGAGTGCCATCCTCGGAGCCGCTGGCGTAGAGCTCGCCATCCGGGCTGAATTTCACGCTGTGCACGGGTCCAAAGTGGCCCTTGAAGGATTCTGCGGGTGATTTAGACATTAGCATTTAAGATCTGTATCTAAGGAGAAACGCTTCCTTACCAATTTCGTTTCCTGTGATATAATCGAATTTGTACATCTTGAAGTCTTCGCCACCACAAACGAAGACATGTTTATCCGGATGCAAACTGGCCGACGCCACGTTCGTCGGCACTTTCACCTCCTTGAGCTTCTTCAGCGTGTCGATCTCCCAGAAGCTAATCGAAGAGCCATGCGATATTGTCAGGATGTGGTTGTCGCTGGAGATCTCCAGGCTGTTCGGATTGCTGTTGAACTGCAGACGCTGCACCTCGATGCCCGTCATGCGATCCCACAGGCGGACCGTCTTGTCCTCGGCCGCCGATATGATGCATTTGTCACCGCGACAGAAGAGTGCCCGCTTGATGGCCCCCGTGTGACCGGCGTACTCCTCCGGTTGTGCCTCCGGCTGCTCCAAGTTGAACACCCTCACCAGCTTCTCGTTGCTGCCAGTCACTATGTTCTCGGAATCCATATCGAAGGCAACGCTCTTGACGATGTGCTTGTGCTGGAAGCTGTGGATCTCGGCTCCACTCACCGCATTCCACACTTTGCCGGTGAAGTCCGCCGCCCCGGAGGCGGCCAAAGTGGCGTTCCGATTGAGGGTGGCGTTCCACACGGCGCCCTTGTGACCCTCGAAGGTGCCCACCCAATCCCCGGTGTCGCCATGCCGCAGCATCGGGCTTCCATCTGCAAGATTCAGAGCACAATTCTCGGTCAGTTGCATTCGCTTTCGCCCGGCGAGCGTGCGTGCATAAATTAACGAACGGAAGCCACCTTGACTCAATGCCTGCCGCCAAGGCCAACGACCTGGCTGACGCTCGCAATCATGCAAGCGAGCTCCCCAAGTTCACGTCACCTGCACTGCACCGCTCGGCGGGATCGGGAGGCAGGGTACTGCAGTTCCCAGGCAGGTTGCTGCAGTGCAGGGACGCGGCTTGTTAGTTCGATCAAAGCCACATTTCATTTCGAAGTGTAAATGGTTATCAGTTGGGGTGTTTTTTTTAGTACACTACCTCCTAACAATATGACAAATCGTAGCAATACTATCAATTCTTTTATGAAGACCCTTAGAAAAATTTTAAAAAGTTGGTTAATTTTCGAACATATTTAAATCATTTGTTTAACTCCATAATTAAATTGAAAATGTTTGTGGTGAACAATTGAACAGGGAATGTTTTAATAAGAGTTTGAGAAAAGTTAAACATTCAAATTCGAATTGAGGTTTAGATCCAACTACAATCTCATTAATTCCTTTAAATAAATCAATTAAAGAATTATACTTATATTCCTTTTAATTTTAGCAAAGGGAATTTTAGTGATCATTCCTCATATTTGACAAAATGTATATTGTTTTTTTTAAATAATTGAAATGCAATTGTTTTGAGTCTCAGGGACGTTATCAAGGAACCCAATTAAATATTTAATTTTAAATGAAAATAATAAACATTTTTTCCTTTCTAAATCATTAGCCCCAAATGACAGTGTATACACTGGTCAGAATCTTCCAGATGACTTTCCTCTCCCGACATTCAAACAGCTGCATATACACAGCATATAAATATAGAAGTTTCAAGGTGCTTCCTGAACTGAACTGAAAGCACAAAACGAGCAAAGTTTTGAAAAGTTGCTAAACAAGGGGAAGCGAGTACGTTAAAAGGCGATAACGAAATTAACTTGAACTTGCACTGGGAATACGCTCTTTCCGCATAAATGCAACATTTAGCGAAAGCATCGAATGCAAAACACACACTCATGTTGTTTATACAAAATAGATAAAACAGCAATAGCAATCGCATCGACTAGTTGACACCTCAAGGCAAAGAACGCGAAATTTGTAGCATGCGAGTGGCGGGAAAAGGGTTCCCTTCGCAGCAAACAGGTTTCGCTCGCAATGAATGACTTTGCATTTGGGTCAAGGTAAAGCACAGGCTAGACGGAGCTAAATCGTGTTTGTTCGCCAGTAGTACAGATGTTTTGCCGATCGACGGATCCGCTGATGCAGCATCTTTTCTTCGAAAACAATAATTTATCAAAGAACGCTTGACACTGGCTAGCAGCTTTGTGTTTTATGAAACATTTTAAGTTAACCATTTTTTATAACCGTTCGGTGGCTGTATGACTTTCGTTAGCCTTACTATTTGTTCTCCTACGATATAAACAGATTATTCTGAGGATTTATAAAAAAAAAGTTTACATAGTTAAAGAATAGTTCTAAAAATATTTGAAAAAATAGTTCTTACTTATTTCCAAAAAATGCACAAATGTATCAAAATTGTTGGATTATAATTTAGAAATTTAAAATGATTTTCCTAATATTACTTTGCCAAGGGAAACAGACTTGTTACAAGAGGAGCGCTTTAGATTTGAATATAAACCAAGACCTATTGTGTATATATTTTTGTGAACCATTTGTTACTCATCTTTTCTTTAATATCCTGTTTTTTTGTACATTCACCAGATTATATGCTATGATTGCCGAAATTGAAATATTTTCTGATACACAGATATTTATAAACAGTTTTTTTTACAACTTTTCTAAATCAAAATCATATCTTCTACAAAAAGTTGTTGATCTGCTGATTACGTTTAATATGATTTTAACGTTTAGGTCATTTTAACAAAGATGAAAATTTCACCGCCTTTTCCGAGAGAGTCAACCACTGTGCGACGACGGAATATAGTCTATATATAGCCCACAAGGACGCCTAATCGCATGCGATTTCTCGCCATTTTTACCTTTGCAGGCTGAGATGAGAAAGTAGCCGCTGTCGCAGATGTCGCTGAAATCCAGGTGAACCACGGGTCGCGTATGTCCACTGCAGGTCAGCGGGATTTGTCGCAAGTTATTGGCAGCCATTGTAATTGGTCTGGGTATGTTCCCCTCGATTTTTCACTCCTTCCGCTGTAATACTTTTTTGTTTCTGCGAGTGTAGCCGCCGTGCTTTTAATCGTAATGTCTAGTGAGAATTTTGCAAACTTTGCACTTAATGGATAGCTGGCGGTGTTTTTTTGGGGATTTACTTTGTACTTCAATTGGTTTATTCGCCTAATTAATAACTCTTCACTGCCCGTTCGATAAATGATTTTCCCGTTCGTTGCTGAAATTCGTGTTGCTGTTGTTGCGCTTCTCTAACGCAAGACGTGTACTTTTGATGTTGTTTGGCAAAAGTGTGCAGTGTATTTACAATTTATTGCGCTGAATTTTATAAACAAGAGGGGAAAATAATTACGCGACACGTTGTTGTTGTGGATGGACGATTGGTAGCCGACTCCAGTCTCGATAGGATGTTCCCACACTACCCTATCGTTGGTGATGGTTTCGTGTGCCGATTGGTGCTGGAGATGTGCGATTAACGGGCACAGCGACTGGGCAAAGACCAATATAAATTATATTGGTCTTTGGACTGGGTCATGGTGAGGAACAGGATCAAAAATGCTACTAAAAAGTATTAATGATTATACTTTTTTTGACGCGTTATATACAAGAACTTAAAGATGATAAACATATATTTGGAAGTATTTTGCCGAAGTTGTAAAAATAACATATGGAAATATATTAAAATCAGAGCCTGAAACTTAGATTCAACAATTAAGTACGGAGTACAAATCAAGACTTTTTTATAAATTGATTTGGTTTTAAATCAATCTATTGGTAGGCAAAATCACTAAAATATCGATTACCAAAAGCGAACAAGTAACGACATATCGCGTTTATAGGCCACCCCTATTTACTTGTCAAAATAGCAAATTTTCATTCGGACTAGGAATCGACTGAAAATATGTCTGCTATTCTAAATCACGCAATTCGTCGCCAATTTGGCGCTACCGCCACCCGGAATATGTCCGGCACCGCCGCCGTGGCTGGCGAGCACTCCGGTAAGTGTCTTTTCGGTGTCCCAATGGCCAAATTCTCCTGCTTTCGTAAGCTTAAGGTTATGTAATTTGGTTGTTGGGCAAGATCGATTCTGGGAGTCCCTCTTATAACACCAAATCTATGTTCTATATCGTATTCCAGGTGGTTACAAGGTGTGGAAGCGCCTGTCCTTCTTCGTGGCCGTTCCCGCCGTCGGTCTGTGCATGCTGAATGCCTACCTGAAGCACCAGGAGGAGCATGATAAGCCCCGCCAGGAGTTCGTCAAGTACGACTACCTGCGCCGCCGCGAGAAGCGCTTCCCATGGGGCGAGGGCCAGAAGAGTCTGTTCCACAACCCCCATGTCAACCCTCTGCCCGACGGCTACGAGCACTAGGTGGCCACCGCCTCCGATCCGGAGATGCATTCGTTATTTGGTAGTGATAAACGTTAATGTAAACTGAATATTAGGCGGAAATACACAGACACACTGAGAAAACAACCATAACTTAAACTCCAGTTGGCGCTTCAATAAAGATCAAACCAGAGCGAGGACATCCTTTAAAGGAGTAGTGATTTTGGAGGTTAATAACTTAAACAATTTAAGGTTGGAGTTCTCCTAACTATAGATATATAGACAACAGTGGCTTGGAATACATTGACTTTTTAATGTGTAAACATAAAACATAGATACAATTTCTGGTTACTTATATTGCAGATTTGCGATTCTTTACAAGTGAGCGTGCCTGTTTGGGTGGCGACTTTATTTCCTTCTTCACAACGACTTCCTTTGGTGAGACTTTTTGAGTAAGGCTTCGGGTTCGGCGCGAGGACTCGCGCTTGCTTACTTTAGGTGCAGTCCCCTTTCGCTGCTTAGTAGGTGGCGTGAAGGACTCGTCGCTATCATCGAGGTGGTCATCATCAAGATGGTCGTCTTCCAAATACTCTGCCTCAAATTCCTCCTGCTTTACGTCCTCCATTTCTTCATCTTGTTCGATATTATCTTCCCTTTCTTCGCCTTCTTCATCGTTTTGGTACGGCTCCATCTCCAACACATGATCGTCCTCGATGTGTTTCTGCAGGCAGTTCTGTGTCAAGAAGATGTGATCGCAGAACTCGCAAGCGAAACGCTCACTCCCCTTGTGCTGTTCCATATGGGCTTCGACGCTGTCAATATCGTCGATCTGCTCCCGACACATTGGACACTTCAGGGTCGTATGAGCGTGGACGCTCGCGTGCTCCAACAGGTTGATGTAGTTGTTAAACGACTTCTTGCATTCGCTGCACACGAACATGGCGTCCGTAGTTTGCAGGTGCATGCGAACATGCCGGGAGAGGTGGTGGGACAACAAATACGACTTTGGGCAGTACTTGCAGGGATAGGCTCTTTTCCCAGCGTGGGCCACGAGATGACGAGCCAGCTTGGAGGCGGTAGAAAAGCTCCTCGAGCAGTGTTGGCAGGGAAAGGGAAGGTTGGAGGAGTGTATAACCTGAAATAAAAAAATGTATTAGCTGGTGAATTATAAATCAGACTAATTTAGTTCAACTCCTTACCTCATGGCGTTCCAATCCTTGCTTGAAGGCAAACGACTTGGTGCAAACGCCGCACTGGAATGGACGCTTCTTTAAATGTCGCTCGGCGTGCTTCTCCATTTCCTGGCGCGATATGAAGGGCTTCTCGCAGTACACGCAGATGATCTTGGGGATTTCCGTGTGGGTGCGCTCGTGGCGGTGGAGCAGAGCCTTTCTGGTAAAGGCCTTACCGCAGATGGTACACTTAAATGGCCGCTCACCGGTGTGGACAAAGTTGTGCTTGGCCAGGTCGTATTTCGAGAAGAAGCTTTTCTCGCACTGGGGACACTGGAAACTGCGCGAACGCGTATGATTTAGCTGATGTATCTCAAGCAGCTGCTGAAGTGGAAACGAGCGCTCGCAATCGGGACACGGAAATACGTAGGTAGCCACCTTTTCGGCGTTCTTTGTTGGATCATCCTGATCATCTAGTTTAATGTCGGCATCCAGAACTTCGGTCACTACAGCTACGTTGCCACTCTCATCCCTTTTGACTTGGGGCGTGGAAATACGCGGCTCCACCGGAGCAGATGGTCCCTTGTTCAGTATCCTAATCGATGACTTGTTCAACAGTTTGGGTTTTTTGGGCAATACCTTCGGAGCTGTTTTTTCAAACTCCTTTTCAAGTTCGTGGGCCATGTCCTCCAGCATGTTCTGCACATCGTCCATGTTAATCTCCTGGTTGTTCTCCACCTTCAACTCGTAGGCATGAGATCGGCGGTTCACCGGTGAGGTAACAATAACCGGATTCACCAAACTGGTCTCCATCACCTGGACATTCTCGATGACCACCTGGCTCGACTTGGCCATGGTATTAAGGAGCTTTTTAGGGGCCTCGGGTGTCTCGGCTGCTGGTGCTGGAATTACTACCACCTTCTTGGGTACAACCGTCATCATGGGAGCACGCGGCTTCTCCAGCGGCGAGGGCCAGTTTCCGGTCAAGGGATATTGCCGGAGCAGGGTCTCCGCCCGCTTGCACATCTGCTTGAAGCGGTAGCAGTGCTCAAACAGCAGACGGCATTCCAGGCAGATAAGGCCAGGCATTCCATCACCGGCGTAGACCTGGTAATATAGAACAAATTAACATTTTTTAGGAATAATAGGTATTACTGTCGCAAGTTTAACAGGCAGCAGTGGCATTGGAGGCTCCCGTAATACCGGTCTAATCGATTCGAACTTTGAATGGTTTACATTCCAAAACAACTGTTTTGAAGATTTAAAATCCATAATTTTACAATTAACCAAGTCTTTTATTTCGAATTTTAAGCCTTTTTTGCCTTTATAACTTAAAATGTGAAATTAAAGTATTATAGAGTAAAATTATATTTGATTTTTATTTTAATTAACCAGGTTTGCCTTTTAAAAAGGTAACGACCGCCATAGATAGTAATACCCTCTTCAAAATAGCACTTTAATCGATATTTAATCGTGATGCGTTTTATTATTCCACAGATCTATCGACGGTTGGCCACCTCCGCTTGGCGGCAAGTGCATACACACCACTACCTCTGCAATCGCAGTTTGTTTTCGCGGCGGCGAGCACGTTTAACCTCCGTTAATTGATTGATTAAGCACGGCTACGCTGATCCATAAAAGGACATTCGCTCGATTGTTTTGTCTGAACAAATCCGACAAAAGCTGAAAAACAGCTGTGCTGTGGAAAGTTTGGCCAATTAAACTCTATAAAACATCAGAACAAGAATTGCAGAACAGTCAACCAAGAAGGGCGCAACAACTAAAGGAGAAGAAGAAGAAGAAAAGAGGAGGAGGAGGAGGAAAAGAAGAAGAAAAGGCAGGCAGACGACGAACAAAAGGCAAGGAGAAACGCAAACAATCACAACAAGAGGAGAGAAAGGGACACAAAATGACGGACGAGTGCATAACCAGAAACTACGGAGTTTTTAACTCAAACGGAGCGGGAAATCGGGGCAGCATTATAGCTGATAATACAGATGCCAAGGGCTGTACGGAATCGGTTGTTGTCGGTGGTGCAACTGCAACGAGGTAAGTGCAGCGCTCTCTCTCTGTCTTTGCTCTCTTTCCCTACTTCAATCTCTCGCTGCGTTTGTTTGTGTGTATTGTTGTCAGCCCTTGTTATCACTGTTGTTGTTTTTGAACAATCCTGGAACAATTCTAAAATCCTTATATCTGAAGACATATTTGAGCGTATTTGCAAATTTTTGCAAATTTGTTCTTCCCCCTATTAAGCCAAAGTTTTTATCTTATCTCATCAGATTCTTAAAATTAAGACGCATTTTTTTTTTGCCTATTTTAATTTTTAGTGTAATGTTTTTTGAAGATAATTCAAGTACTTTGCATTGTAAGGCAGCATTTATGACCCACATTACTTATCACACAATTTCTGTACTTTCGTTGCCAGTTTTAAAGGTATTGAATTTAAACAAAGTCAACAAATATGTTAATAATATGCCAAGTACTATTCCAACATCTCGGGTATTAGAAACTGGCATTGTTATTAAAAATAGCCTTTTAAGCTAAATTAGTAAGTTTTTATTTTTTTTAAAGGATTCAAAAAAAAGGTCAAGTTCGAATTATTTTAACAATTAAAGAAAAAAGCTAATATAGTATTTTCGTAACGTATTTAATATAAATGGCTACTCATCATTAGTCATGAAAGTCATTAAGGGCTTAATCAATAGAACCAATTTGACAAATACTAATATGAGAAAAAAGCTTTCAGTGTTTTCTTATTGCAACTCTTTTGTTTTCGGTTAAGAAGGAAATGCGCAGCAGTATAAAGCCAATTTCCACTTCTTTAAAAGTATTGGGAAAATCTTAACTAAACACATCTTTACATAATTAATCAGCTATTAATCATTGCCAATTTTGGACAATAACTTTATCTAATCTTATCGCGCCTAGCTTTCGGCCATAGAATCTAATAGCTTATCTAACATCTTCTCTTTGCAGCGCCTCCCCCCTTCCGGCCAACAAGTTTGTAGCCCGAATGCCCGTTGAGCGATATGCAAGCGAATATAATATGAATCACAAGAACCGCGGGCTGGCCCTGATCTTCAATCATGAACTCTTCGATATACCTTCGCTGAAGAGTCGCACAGGGACGAATGTGGATGCCAAGGAGTTGGAAAAGGCGTTGACTGCCCTGGGATTCACGGTGACTGTGTACAAGGACTGCAAGTTGAGGGATATCCTGAAGAACATTGAGAAGGCCGCCGTGCAGGATCACACAGATAATGACTGCCTGGCGGTGGCAATCCTCTCCCACGGGGAACACGGCTACCTATATGCCAAGGATGTGCAGTACAAGCTGGATAATATATGGCACTACTTCACTGCCACCTTTTGTCCCTCGTTAGCGGGCAAACCAAAGATGTTCTTCATCCAAGCCTGCCAGGGCGATCGTTTGGACGGAGGAATAACCCTCGAGAAGAGCGTTACCGAAACAGATGGGGAGTCCTCAATGAGCTACAAAATACCCATACACGCAGACTTCCTCTTCTCTTACTCGACTATTCCGGGTATGAATAATGATGTTATACAAAATGCCTTTCAATTTCTAACATTCACCTATTTTTAGGTTACTTCTCCTGGCGCAACATCAACAACGGGTCCTGGTACATGCAGTCGCTGATCCGGGAGCTAAATACCAATGGCAAAAAGTACGACATGCTCACCCTGCTCACATTCGTCAACCAGCGTGTAGCCCTAGACTTTGAGTCGAACGTGCCCACCACTCCGATGATGGATCGCCAGAAGCAGATACCGTGCCTCACCTCCATGCTAACGCGTATACTGCGCTTCGGGGACAAACCGAAGGGCAACAAGGCTGGCTAAAAGAGATCTCTTTTTTAAAATTGGTTGTACAACCTTATCCCACAATCATTCACTTTGGATTCCACTTCACTTCAAGTCTAGTTTTAAGTGACGCGTGCCATTATCCTGAAGGATATGCGGTACCTTGATCGCTTTCCATTTCCCTTACCCACCCATTTCTGGCCTTATCAATGACGAAATTCGTTACTCACTTAATATTATGATTTCCCTAAATATAAGAAACAAACACTTGCCAATCAACAAACCCACAAATTTGAGATAAGATTATACAATGAAGATTTATACATTTAAACGCAAACATATATATTTGATATGAATACAAATAAAAATGAATTCAAAAAATGTTGATCTTGTTTTTTTTAAGTAATGATATCTGGAAGATATAGTTAATCTACACTTATTAATCAACCCAAGTGATGTGTTAGTTAAGTTCCAGGAACACTTAAATAATTTAATTCATTTAAATCTATTGGCAGTGAATTTGATCAATTTATTCTAGCGAAACAGTTGTTTTTGATATTATATATTTTTAACCCAGGAAATTTTTTGAAAAGTTAATAGAGATAAATTTAAATTATCATCGATTTAAAAACAACATTTAAGACCCTCTAAACAAATCGTTCTTACTTCAATGCGTCATTTAAAAATCCACCATGAAATATTTTCAATATATTGCCTTTCTGTATATGAAAACGGGTACGGTTTAAAATATTATATAAATCAGAATACTCTACAGTTTCCACCAAAACGATTGGACAAACAACACGATTGATGCTGAATTTGTTTAATTTAGTTTTGTAAATAACATGTTGGTTTTTACAAGTTGGAGAAGTTTTGTTTTCGCCCAAAACAAAACTGACAGCTGTCACGGTCGATCAGCTGACTTGGCAAGTGTGTGCGTGCTGTACAGTTGCGACTGTTGATTGAAGTGGGTTTTTCTCTTCGCACGACCGAAAAAGGGAAACTCCAACGAATAGGTGAGTAACCGGTGGGTTATATCCTGGGGCCCTTTTCGAGGACTTATGAGGAGGGGATAGGGCCAGGAGCCGGGCTACAGTGGGGCAGGAAAACTTAGCCAAGACGCCATCGCAGTCATTTCGGAAACCCACGAGCAATTTCTTAGCCAAGTTATGCGTGGCGGTCGTTAGTTCAAGTTAGAACCCCATTAGTCGTTTTTCGCTTACCTCGATCGCCGTAATAGCCATGATCTGCAGTGGCAGATTGGCGGTTGTTTTCACTCTCGCGTTTTCCTCGAAAATCGAGGCCAACTTCTGTTCCGTCAGGCAGAAGCGACAGACCTTTTTCTCGTTCATCGCTGCCTCGCGAGCCTCTAACTTTTCGGCCATCGCGACAATAGCAACTAGCTGGTATCGGGGGTGGCCAAGAGCAGCCACAAAAACTATTTAAGACGGGACAAATAACAAAAGCAAGGAAAAGAATCTGCTTGGCGTCTTTTCTTTTGCACGAACCGCACGGGAGTTGCCAGATCGTTGTTACAATCGCTGGACGCTGCTACACGTGCCAGGGCTGCCAAAAATATCGATATTTAGAGTGGGTCTCGACTAATCGTTTTTCTCACTGAATGTTGGCGTTTATATATTTCAAATAATTTACAAATTTAGAGCCTATATTAATAATAATTTAATTAGTATCTCGTTTATTCGTTCTTTTTGCATATTTTTAGTGTACAAAATATTAAGAAAATATTTTGATGTCTGCTAAGATTTTGTTGTTAATTGATAGTACCTAAATATCAATTAACAAAAAATGAAATCGATTTGACTTTTCTTTTACAAATTCTTTTCGTTGTTGATTTTATACAAATTTTAATACAAATTGTCAGTATTAGTATCAGCTTTAATAGTATTTCCCAGCGCAGTTCACCATTATTAATTAAAAAATAAGGTTTACGAAGTGAAAAAGTACTACAATCTCTATTTATTAATCTTATAATTCCCAAACTAATCATCGGCGTCCCTAAGTCGAGCCTGCGTCTGTTCGCCGATATCGTATATGACATTCTGTTGCAGCAGCTCGTGGGCCTCGTACTTGAGGGACTCCTCGTAGGCGTACTGGATGCTGGTGTCGTAGATCATCAGCTTGCACTTGGCCAGCGCCAGAATGGAGTTCCTCAGCCGAGCGATCACTTCCCGGTCAACTCGCGGTATATGCTCGTTTAAGTTCAGGGCAAATCCTCCCTCGCCGCCCTCCTGCTCCTGACCTTTGGTCGGTGATATCCAGATATAGCCGTTGTTCCCCAGGATCACGGAGGCGCCACAGGGGAGATTGTGGAAATGCATCTTGCGACGCTTGACGAGAGCGGGAAAAACCTTGACTAGGATGCCCTGCGACAGCTTTCCGTATTTTAAACTGCGCGTGTAGAGGGAAAGGGTTCCCTCCTCGAAGATGTTCTGGTGGAAAAAAATGTTGGTTAATAAGGTTGTTCCCACGTGAAGGGGTATACAAAAAATGGTTTTGGGACGCAACAAGTTGATTTTTTACGTTTTTTAGGTTCCTTTTCTTTTAAATTGATTGTTTTAAGTACCGGCTTTATAAATTTTAAGGCCAAAGGTAAAAATTAAATATTTTAACATTCAAAAAATTGTGCAACGAAACATTACTAAACCTATCGGTAAATAATTTAATTTTTTTGTACAAATAAAAAATAAATATACACTTGCTCTTTTTAATGCTGAAGTTTACTCTAGCATGGTTCGAATCTTTACTGCACCTCCCAAAACCAAATATACAATACCCACCTGGACTTCTGCGGAGATTAGATCTCCCTCGTCCAGATAGCGCCGCATCATCTGCTCGTCCTCCGCGGATCTCCGCCTGAGTTCGCCGCCTGGCAGATTCACTGATGAAAGCAGGAGGATGGAGTCCAACCGGGAATTGGTGTCCACTCGCCAGCGCTTCTGTTGCACCTCGCTGACACGGGCCACCACCACGTCCCCGATTTCGCCAACATAACGACTTTTCAGCGGACGGACGGAGATTAGCTTGTTGACCTTCTGGATCACCCCGGCCACGGAGGCCTTGATGTTCTCGTCCTCGACAAAAGTACCATGGCCACGCATGAATCCAGCCTCCGGCATTAAAATCTCACCGGGTGTGTAGACGCGCGGCAGGTGATCCGCATGGGCGGCTAGGTCACGCCAGTCCACCCGATCCAGGGCCAGTTCTATCGCAGCGTTTGTGGACATCTCGGCGGGATTGGGTTTAAATTTAGGTGAGGTAAACAAAAAGTTAAATTCAAGCAAGGAAAATGAGCAACAGCTGGCAAAACACGCGCGCCGCGGAACTTGTTCCGGATTCGGGCTTGGTACTAGTTCTGATTTCGGTTCTTCGCCGCAACTAAGCGGCTGAAAACACAAAAAATCCCCCTAATAAAATTGTGATAAGAAAGTCGATAGCTCGAGAACTGGAACTAGAATTGTGACCAGGAATCATAACAAACCAAATTAACTCTCGATGATAAGCAAACTAAACAACCTTACTCATATTTTTTAATATTATTTTGAGAACATTTTTTAATTAGTTTTAAATACTTTTAATAGATTCGACATTTATTTTCGGCTGCCACTTGAGTACATTCCAACTTCTGAGATACTACTAACATAAGGATAAAGTATCCATGGAATACGACGTTCGAGTGCTGCGGGGACACCTGAGATCGGTGTACGACTGCGCATGGAATCCGAGCTGGGATCGGAATCTTCTGGCCAGCGTTTCGGAGGACGGCACTGCCAGGATTTGGGACACATCCAAAGGGAGTGTCGATCACCCGGTGCTGCGCCACTGCATCCAGAAGGACGGCGTCGAGGTGCCTAGCAACAAGGACGTCACCTGTCTGGACTGGAATGTATGAAGTTTCTTCTTAAACAGTTTCAAACTATTAATTCCTCTATGCTTACAGTGTGTTGGTTCTTTGCTAGCCACCGGAAGTAATGATGGATGTGTCCGGATTTGGAAAACGGACGGGCGTCTGGTCTCTACTCTTCACCAACAGAAGGGTCCAATATTTTCGGTGAAATGGAGCAAGTGCGGCAACTACATACTTACAGCGGGCTACGATCAGACTACGATCATCTGGGACACAACCACTGGTCAGAGCATTCAGCAATTCGCTGTTCATAATGATGTAGTCCTCTATGCGGATTGGCAGACAAATACGACCTTCGCATCGTGTGGTGCGGATCATCGCATTCATGTGTGCCGGCTGGGAGAGAATGAAGACATCAGAACTTTCGCAGAACATAGCGATGCTGTAAATGTGGTCAAATGGTGTCCACAGGGCCAGTTGCTGGCCTCTTGCTCCGATGACAACACCGTAAAGATCTGGAGCATGAGCCGCGATCGCTGCTGCCACGATCTCCACGGGCACTTAAAGGCAGTACATATGATTAAGTGGTCGGCCACGGGGTTGGGAACTAGTAATCCCAACGCGAGACTGATGCTCGCCTCTGCCTCCTTCGATTCCACGGTGCGGCTATGGGACGTGGAAGGAGGCAGTTGCATCCACACACTTAGAGGGCACACGGAGCCGGTATACTCGGTGGACTTCAGTCCAGATGGCAGGCATCTGGCCTCCGCCGGCGAAGACAAGTTCGTCCATATCTGGAGCACACAGTCTGGTCAGCTGCTGCACAGCTACAATGCTACTAGCAGGATGTATGAAGTCCAATGGAACGCTAAGGGCACTATGGTGGCCGCTGGTGCCTCCGATGGCAGTGTTATCATCCTAAATCTCCGTTCTATGGGAATAATTAAAAATCATGTTGAGTGACCATAATATCTGTAGTCCAGTTTCCCAACTATGAAGTACACGATACTTTATCTTTTAATTTTATTAAAGATGGTTGATTCTCCATACATAAAAACCTTTATATATATTTTTTTAACGATCACCTCCACGAAACACTAGGTGATTCCACACTTAAGTTGTTTCGTAAAATAGGTTTCAAAAAGCCTTAAATATAGGTTACTAACTACTAAGTAAATGTTCAGTGTGTCTCATTTTGACTTTCTGAGTTTGCTTGAGACTAAAACATTTGTTTATTAAGACTTCCTGCACCGAAAATCTGACTGTATAGGAAGTATGATAACTTTAGTTCATGGTAAATGAATGAGGCAGCCAAATCTAGAAATGCTCAAGTACTCTCCAAAATCTCAATTCATTTCATTTTAAATCGTTGAAGAGTAATAACGAAGCTTTAACAAGAAATATAATTTTAATAAATTTATATTTTAAGTAAAAAATGTGTCTAATTGTTTGCCTAGTACTTTTGATCTTAAAATGCCAGATCGAAGCTTTCAATTTGTCTCCGTATGCGAATCTAGTGATAAACTTACCAAAGCAACCTGAGACCCACTTGAAACCAACTCGAAGTTCCTACTTTGGATACACGCTCGTCATCCGTCCCACCAGGTGAGTTCATTCTTCGATTCTCAACCAATTTGAGAATCAAGCGGTATTAATCATTTCCGGTACTCATTGAGTATATCCCTGCTAAAACGTCTTTAACTTTTAATGCAGCATCTTTGTGGGAGCTCCTCGGGCTCAGTCCACCTTGGATTCGCAGAGCACCATCAACGAAACTGGAGCGATATACAGGTGCTCCCTGACCGACGGTGACTGCATTCCGTATGTCCTGGATGCCCGCGGAGATGTCGATGCGCCTGACAATGGGTACACCTGGAACTCGGAAAGCAAGGACTACCAGTGGCTGGGCGGATCCATGGACGGGGGCACACGGGATACGGATAAGCTGCTCGTGTGTGCCCCCCGATTTTACACCCCCAACCGCAAGGGAAACCAGCTGCATGGAGCCTGCTACTGGGTCAGCGACACAGTGTCCCCAACTCCCCAGCATGTGATGCGAACCTCTCCACTCCGCTTGAAATCTCAGCAACGGGCCGATGATGGAACAAGCTTTTTCTTTATGGGCGAACTGGGACAGAGTACTCATGTGACCGACGATAACTCTGAGTTCCTGATCGGAGCACCAGGTATCGATGACTGGAAGGGATCGGTAGTTCTGTACCGGAAGAATCATCCTGTGGCCCTAAGACGCTTAATGCGAGATGTGGATACCACAAACTACAAACCGGATAACTATTCACCCAAAATCCTCCTACCCAGCCGTTGGGGCCAGAAAGCAAACTCTTACTTTGGCTATGCCATCAGCTCCGGCTACTTTGACAGTGCCAACCTGTCCAACCTCCTCTACGTGGCCACAGCTCCTCAAGCCAGCGAGGCATTTATATTTAGTGACCAAGGAACAGGCATCCGAAAGTTCTATGAGTTCCACGGCGAGCAGTTGGGCGAATATTTCGGCTACTCTATTTTGGCTGAGGATCTTAATGGAGACGGAAAAACGGATGTTATTATTTCGGCTCCGCTAAACGCTCTGGGTGATTCCCCAGATGTTGGGGCCATCTATGTGTTTATCAATAAGGGTCTGGTGAGTAATGAGCTCCAAAACATGAGCCACTTCTCAATGCCTTATCTTTTCAGTTCAGCTTTGAGCAGAAAATTCTCCGGTCGTCAGTGAGCAGTAAGGCCCGTTTTGGAACTACTCTTTCGCGCCTGGGAGATATCAATAACGACGGATATAACGGTATGATATATAGAATAACTCAAATAATATTTTGTTTGTTTATTTATAAAATAACACGATTTAAATTGTGTCATCACCGAACATTTTTTTAAAAATGCTTACACTTGATAGCTCATATTATTGATAGTTTGTTCTTTATTGTTGGTAAATATTTAAAAAAATTGTCTTATCCCATGGGACAACCATATTATTACCTCCATTTATGATTTCCTTTCTTTGAAGACGTGGCCGTTGGAGCTCCCTTTGAAGGAAACGGAGCAGTGTTCATCTACCTGGGCAGTGAGGATGGATTGCGGGATCAGCCGAGTCAGCGACTAGATTCTCCTCCCCAGCAAACTTCACAGTACGGAGCCCACATGTTTGGACACGGACTCTCCCGCGGATCGGACTTCGATGGCAACGGATACAATGACTTCGCCATCGGGGCCCCCAATGCCGAGGCCGTGTATCTGTATAGCGCCTATCCTGTCGTTAAGATACAAGCCACAGTAAAGTCAGAATCGAGGGAAATCAAACCGGAGCAGGAAAAGTTTAAGATCACCGCCTGCTACCAACTGAACTTCATTGCGGAGGCAAAAAGGAAGTACAGGAGCAGATGATAGACATCCGAATTACGATTGATGAGCAACTGAAGAGGTTTAAGTTTGCCCTTAATCAGGATATCGAGATGTCATTTAATGCAAAGGCAGGACCCTTAGAGAATTGCCCCATATTCGATGTTCAAGTAAACAATGGCGACAAGGATATATTTGAGCCCATCGTTTTGAAGATCCATTACGGGCTGGCCCAGACGGTCCCGAAATCTGGGGGTAAGCCTACAAGCTTGTGTTTAAAATATATTACTTAATGCATTTTTCTTTATAAGGATTCTGTGAAACCTGCGCGGTTGTTGATCCGGCGGATCCTAAGGTTTACACGGAGAAGATCAGCTTCTGCACGGGTTGTGCCGCCGATGTTTGTGTAGCGGATTTGCAGTTGAAGAGCATAGATGTGATGTAAGCTAAGATTTGGTTATACGTTCTGGTGTTTATTTTATCAAAAGTATTATTATCTCAGCCCGAATTATATTTTGGGTTCCACCGACATCCTCCGTCTGAAATACGAGGTCACCAGTGAGGGAGAGAACGCCTACGTGCCTCAATTAAACGTGACCAGCTCTGCCCGACTGCCTTTCGCTCAGGTTCCGGGAAATTGCAAGGTCACCAAAGCAGTTATGTTATGCGACCTGAACCACGGACGAAAGCTGGCCAAAGGCGACAGCGACTCCATCACCATCACCTTCGATGTAAGCCAACTTAGTGGAGATTCTCTGATAATCGACGCAGCAGTATTCAGTGCGGGATCCGAAAAGAATCCCACGGACAACAAGCAAAGCAATGTGATCAGTCTGAGGGAGTTCACCGAGATTGATGCCAGTGGGTAAGATTCAATGAAATTATTAAAAGCTAGCAAGTTATGTTCACATAACAGATTAAGCCGATGAAAGCCAATTGGTTCTAAAGTTTTTTTTAATCCTTTGTCTATAGAACTTACTTAAATCTGTCTAATTGCCTTGTCCATTTGCAGTGGTTCGGCAAATGGTCAAGTTGTTCTTAACAGTTACCCTTACTCTGCGGAAATCATAAACAATTACGAGTTCAAAAGCCGTGGACCCAGTATTATCGACCAGTTAACACTTGTTTTCCATATACCCATCGCCTATAAATATAAAGTAGCTGGTTCTTCAAAAATTATACCCATCATAAACATAACCAGCTTGGATATGGACGCCACCTACGATTCCCATCTGTTAACGATGAAGCTATACGACCACAAGGGCTTACCCGTTGAGTATTATACCCAGATCGGACTGGATGATGACCAGGCAACCACCAACCAAGGCCAAAATGTCGGGTCCCACGATCTGCAGAGCGAAGACTTTAAGGAAGAGCTGCCGGTGAATCGCACCATTGTGTTTAACTGCCGGGATACCAACATGACAATCTGCGTCCATGCTGAAATGACTGTCAAATTTAGGCCGGATAAACCTATTAACGTGAACATAAGCTTTAATGTGGATTTAAGGGACATGAAGCAGCCTTGGGAGTACTTTGTCATTCATACCGATGTAGATCTGGTCAAGGAGGGCGACCCAACATCCAAGACGTTAGGGATTAAACGAAAGTTTGAACCAAATGTTATATTTAAGAATCTGAATCCTGGAATGCCCATCTGGTATATAATTTTGTCCCTGATCGGTGGCATTTTGCTGCTCTCTGGTTTAACCTATGTTCTTTACAAGGTTCGTATCACAGTGGTGTAAAATTTTTTTAAACTTATATCTATTTACTCCACAGCTTGGATTCTTTAAACGCTTTAAAAGGGAGGAGCTAAATAGGTTGCGGACGGCAGAAAAATTCGAACACTTATTGGACCCGGTACCAGACTATGATTGATGTGAGCGAAAAATATTTACCGGATACATGTATCAATATTGTGTAAATGTCAAACAGTATTGGCAAAATACAAAAAAAAACTTTTTAAAATAAAATTCTTTCATTTAGACGAAACATGTATTTTTGTTTTGTTGTTTTATTCCTGAAAACGAAATAGTTAACAAAAAAATAAAACTCTAAAAACCATTTGAAATTGTGGTTTTAAATTCCCGCCACAATATCGACATCGAGAACTGTTGACCTATCGATAAAAATTCCGGTCAGATGAAAAAATTTTATTGTTTTCACGATATATATTGCCCCTTGGAGAATGTTATAGAAAATATTTTACTTTAGTTGGTAATTAAATATACGAAGATTTTTTAATGTACCCTTTATTCTATGCACTTTATTAATAAAGATAACTTTTCTTTAAAACTTTTTAAAAGCAAAAACACTTATATTTATATATATTGTTAGGGTTAATTTATTTCTATCTTGATTATTATTAAAATTGAATTTTGAATTTTTTTCTAATTACCATTAACAAATATATTTTTGTATACATACCACTTAATTAGTGCCCACTGTACTTCGCCGCAGCGCAATCTCATCAGCTGTTTTCTGTTGTGGGCAATCGTTGTCGCTGCCCCGTGAAAATTACGCATAAATGAAAAAGTGAATTGCCAGCAGGAAAATGGACCAGCCCGATGACCATTTCCGCTACATACACAGCTCCTCACTCCACGAACGCGTCCAAATCAAAGTGTAAGTGAGATATTGGCAGGGAAACCCAATAAAACCTGGCGTATTTATGTATATAAGCCACCTTTGTTATTTTTCAGTGGGACGCTCGAGGGGAAGAAGCGCCAGCCGGATTATGAGAAACTATTGGAGGACCCGATACTTAGATTCTCCGGCCTGTACTCCGAGGAGCACCCCTCGTTCCAGGTGCGCCTCCAGGTGTTCAACCAGGGCAGGCCCTACTGCCTCCCAGTCACCAGCTCCTACAAAGCTTTCGGGAAGAGATGGAGCTGGAACGAGTGGGTTTCGCTGCCCCTACAATTCTCCGATCTGCCGAGGAGCGCCATGCTGGTGCTGACCATTTTGGATTGTTCAGGCGCTGGTCAAACCACCGTCATCGGCGGCACCTCCATTTCGGTATTTGGCAAGGATGGCATGTTCCGACAGGGAATGTACGATCTACGCGTTTGGCTGGGAGTCGAGGGCGATGGCAACTTCCCCAGTCGAACACCCGGTAAGGGCAAGGAATCCTCCAAGTCGCAGATGCAGCGCCTGGGCAAGTTGGCCAAGAAACATCGGAATGGTCAAGTGCAGAAGGTGGACTGGCTGGACAGGCTCACGTTCCGCGAGATCGAAGTAATCAACGAGCGGGAGAAACGCATGTCCGACTATATGTTCCTCATGATAGAATTTCCCGCCATTGTGGTGGATGATTTGTATAATGTGAGTCATTGAAATACCGATTTTGATCCGCTCTTATCCATATTTTTGGTTACAGTATGCAGTGGTCTACTTCGAACCAGAAGGCGATGTCAAATACAAGCTACCAGCCAAGCCGAAATTGGTATCCGTGCCAGATTCGGAGATTCAAATGGTATGTTAATCGTAGAGGAGTAAGCTCAAGGACTTCTTAACTAACTATTTTTTGCAGGAAAACCTGGTGGAAAGAAAGCACCATCGCTTGGCCCGTTCAGAGCGTTCGGGAATCTCGGATAGAGATGCCAAACCCACAGCGAGGTATGGTAATTGATTTCCAGATGTATTCACCCCACTCACGCAAATTTCTCGGCAGCATTCGCGATCAGCTTCACACTATTGTTTACAGGTATCCTCCTACCTATGTGCTTAGTAGCGAGGAGCAGGATCTGGTATGGAAGTTCCGGTTTTATCTCTCCTCGCACAAAAAGGCGCTGACCAAGTTCCTAAAGTGCATTAACTGGAAGCTGGAGGACGAGGTTACTCAAGCTCTTTGGATGCTGGCCAACTGGGCGCCCATGGACGTAGAGGATGCTTTAGAGCTACTTAGTCCTACTTTTACGCATCCCCAAGTGCGAAAGTATGCCGTCAGTCGATTGGCCCAAGCTCCAGATGAGGATTTGCTGCTCTATCTGCTTCAGTTGGTACAAGCTCTTAAATACGAAGATCCACGGCACATTGTCCATCTGCATGGCTGCATATTTCCCGAGCGGGACGTGGTGCGATCTATCTTGGATGATAATGGTTCACTGCTGGATCAGAGCAGCTTGTCCGACCTGAGTGCAACTAGCAGTGGACTCCATGCATCGGTTATTCCAGCTAATCAGCGGGCAGCAAGTGTTTTGGCGGCCATAAAGGGCGATAAGTCATTGAGCCCTGGATCGGCTGCTGGCAGCGGCGGTCAGGTATCGGTGGCGCTTCCGGGTCCCTCTGCTCCAGCCACTCCTGGTAGCAGTTCCCTGCCCTGTGACTCCAATTCCAATGCCCTCATGCTGGCCGAGGGTATCAGCTTCGGCAGTGTTCCAGCCAATCTCTGCACATTCCTTATTCAGCGCGCTTGCACGAATGCCACGCTGGCCAACTACTTCTACTGGTACTTGTCCATCGAGGTGGAGGAAGTAGAGTCGGTGAGGAAGCAGGACGAAAGGGCACACGACATGTATGCCATGGTGCTCAAGATGTTTCTAAAGGTGCTGGAGAACGGTAGGTGTAATTTTGAGAAGGAAATTCCTCGTTCTTATTTTTTCAACGCTTTTCAGGAAACTTTAACCTTCGAGGCATCTTCTACAACCTCCGCAAGCAGCGACGCTTCATCGATGAGCTGGTCAAGTTAGTGAAACTGGTGGCTAAGGAGCCGGGAAATCGCAATAAGAAGACGGAGAAGTTCCAAAAGTTGCTGGCCGAACAGGACATGTTCAAGGTGAACTTTACCAACTTTGAGCCCATTCCGTTTCCCTTGGATCCGGAGATCTACATCACCAAGATTGTCCCGATGCGCACTTCACTTTTCAAGAGCGCTTTAATGCCGGCCAAGTAAGTTTCTCTGAGTGAATGTGAAAACGGAGAACCCCAGACTAATGCTCCATATTTTGGATACCCATAGACTCACCTTTGTCACCTCGATTGCCCATCACGAGTACGCTGCTATTTTCAAGCATGGTGATGATCTTCGTCAGGATCAACTCATCTTACAGATGATTACTTTGATGGACAAGCTGTTGAGGCGGGAGAACCTTGATCTGAAATTGACTCCCTACAAAGTGCTGGCTACCAGTTCCAAGCACGGATTCCTGCAGTACGTTGACTCGTGCACTGTGGCAGAGGTCCTTGCCCGAGAGGGCAACATCCACAATTTCTTCCGGAAGCATCATCCATGCGATAATGGCCCTTATGGCATTTCGGCTGAGGTCATGGACACGTACATCAAGAGCTGTGCGGGCTACTGTGTGATCACCTATTTGCTAGGTAAGACAACAGGATAACCACTGACTGGCTTTCATGTTTTTCTTGATCCTACTATTCCCTTGCAGGCGTGGGCGATCGTCACTTGGACAACCTGCTATTAACCACCAACGGCAAGCTCTTCCACATCGATTTCGGCTACATTCTGGGACGTGATCCCAAACCCATGCCGCCGCCCATGAAGCTGAGCAAGGAAATGGTGGAGGCGATGGGTGGCATTAGCTCGGAGCACCACCATGAGTTCCGCAAGCAGTGCTATACGGCTTATTTGCATTTGCGTCGGCATGCCAACGTAATGCTTAACTTATTCTCCCTGATGGTGGATGCCACTGTTCCTGATATCGCTCTGGAGCCCGACAAGGCGGTCAAGAAGGTGGAGGAGAACCTGCAGCTTGGACTGACCGACGAAGAGGCTGTTCAGCATTTGCAGAGCCTCCTGGATGTGTCCATTACGGCCGTAATGCCAGCGCTTGTGGAGCAGATCCATCGATTCACCCAGTACTGGCGGAAGTAAAGAGGATTTGTTCTATCCTCGATGGGTTTAAATTATGGATAAGAAATTGTAGGAGGAGGTAGTAATCGGTTAACCCATTTAATTACTTATTGTGTGTAAGTGTAAAAGACTAATATTCAAAATGTTGGTAGAGCTTATACGTAAATATTGAAAATTTAAATTCCCAAATCGGTGGAATAAACACAGTACTATTACTACTTATTATTATTAAATAAAAACATAAAAATATTTTGTGTAGACATTTGTTCATTGATTACTCAACTCCTACAATTTGTTATATTAATCGAACCCGTAGAAATAGGCCTATCTTACTGCACTTCACTATTAATAACCGTAGTTTAAGTTTGCTTTAGTCGTAGGAGGCCTGTAGCTACAAGTCTGTAATCGAGAATTTATCAATATCTGTTTTGTGTCGCAAGTGTAATATAACTACTTATTTGAAAAAAACATGCAGGTGCGCTCAAAAAAGCCAGTTTGGTTCCTGTTCAAAGTGTTGGAGTTGCTGCTGAGCCTTGGATGTTGCATCATCCACTGGCGATGTTTCAACGATGAGGGTGTTCCGCATATCTTCCTTCTATGTGGAGCTTATGGAGGATCTGTGATAATCTGCTTCGTATCCCTGATCGGAGCTTTTTACGCGGAGCGGCCGACAATGAAGCACGAAGCTGCATTTGGAGGCATTTTGAGTGCCCTTCATTTTTTCACAGTGTACGCCCACATGTACATGGCGACGCTTGAGGAATTTCGTACTGATAAGTGGCCTGATTTCTACATGTGTTGCAGGGATAACGCTATGTTAGCTCTCTATGCCGGCGCCATTTACCTGCTGCACTGCACCTTCGCACTGGACCTGATGCTCTCCCACAAGGGAAAGAAGATGCATTCGCAGAGGAGCAAACGGCCACTCCGGCTTTACTTTATCAGTCTGGGAGCGGAGGCCTATTTAAGTCGATTCTGGTTGTTTCAACGCATCGCCGCCAGAATGTTGACGAGTGCGCAGCCATCGGAACACTCCAGTTGGAGGAGGAATATTTCGTCCTCCGATTCCGAGTCAGATGACCAGGAGCCCATTGACAAAACGGCGGATCCCTATGAAAGGGGATCAAAGAAATAGCATTTCGGTTATAGATTCTTCAAATTCAAATTAAATCTGATAAAATTATGTTAATGTTATCTTGTTTTTAATAATTAATATCTTATTTTTTGTTATAATGACACAGGTATAATATTTTTAACTACATGAACGGGATATGGTAAAAGGCAAAGGTACAATATTTTTACCTAGATAAAAATGAACCAAGGCAACAGTACGTATGAGTAATAAACTTTAAAGCCATTGCACAACGTTTATTTAAGAATCCTCTTAATTTATCCCTACCTATGAAAATAGTACAAATACCATACAAAATATATATTTATTTCGTATTTTATTTAAAATATTCAATTAAATCTTCTGCTTTCTTATTGTTGGCCAAAATATATTTTAATGTAAAAAGTCACTTAAAGTCCTTAAAGCCTATTTTAAATTAGAGATTTATACTTATCAAGCTTGTTTTCATATAGCTTGCTTGTAAATAATATATTCATAATTGATTGCATATATTTATTTTTATTTATATTTATTATTTATTTCTCTAATATTTAATAAAATAATTGATGGATATAAATTTTCATCACCAACCGATATTCACTGTATATTTCCAATTCCAACGGAAGCGCGAATGCGGCCCTGGTCGGCGCACAGCTGATTAGCGAACTGCAACCGTGTTCTTCTGTGCCCGCGCACTTTGACAGCTGTTTACGGTTCTTGCGGTATTTAAAAGTTTGTGCGCCGCGTGTTTATATGTTGTTATATTTGCTGCAATTGTGACGATTTTGTGCATATTTAAGTTAAGCTTACTGGAAAACTCCAGCTTTAATGAAGATGGAGCTGGCGAGTGGGTCGGTAAGTGCGGGGAGGGGGCTGCGTCCATTTTCCCATTGTTCGGATGCATTGCTGGAAATTTCAGTCTGCAAACTTTTCTGATTTTCATAGTTCGATGCGTGGTGGAAACTTCTGTGGCTGGCTCTTGTGCTCCAGCTCTGTGTGCCTGTGGTTTTAGTTAGTGGCAGGTATTCGAACCTACAACTTTTGCTAAAAGTTAGCCAGGGCCACTAAAGTTGCCAGCAGACGCACCGCAAAAGTGCACAGACGCACACCAGCAGCTACATGCATATGTATTTATGTACATACGTACATAAGTACATATAAGCACTAAGTCCCCGGCGACCAACTAACTTAGTCGTGCCAAAACGCCAAAATACAGTGGCACTTCGCTAGCTCTATCAGAATTGAAAGTATCAACTTGCAAATGTGGGTGATTTAAAAACACAGAGTTTCAATCCTCAATTGAACAGTGGAACGATCAAGATACTCTTTTGCTTATATTAACTTATATCAAAGTTGTTATACATTTTAAATATAAACCATCTTGAGTAAACAATGTTTTTTGAGGTAAAAAATATAATTAATTATACCCGTTACTCGAAGAGAAAAATTGTAACCATTTACTGTTAATTTGTTATAAAATTTGTTAAACAGTTCTGTTACCATTGTATGGTTAGTGGTACTACAAAGAAAAAATACCTCTCGTTCCCATAAAGTTTATACATATGTATATTTTTGATCTGGTTATTTACGCCTACCCCGGGCAATTGTAAACTATGTCTTGTTACTTTAAAACATGAAAAAACAGTATATTCACCAAAAATTTTCCAAATCAAACAATTATTTTAGAAGTCATTCATAAGCATCATTAGTGACGTCATGTGTGTGTTTTTTACAACAGTTGATGGTTGCGATTTTATAATTCGTCGCGCGAATAGAATAAATAGCTCATCTCATAAGGAAGGCTTGTGATATGAACTACCCAAAAAAAAAGGGCTCGCTATTGTCGGGTATATATATACTTATTTATTTAAAATTTGGCTATCAGGGTAAAGGGTATCAAATATTCGGGTCACCCGACAATAGCGTGCCCTTTTTTTTAGTTCATATCACAAGCCGAATTTGCTTACCCCGTCAGTTTTAAGTTACCGCACTCCCTTTTAAATTTGTATGAGTGCTTTATAATCTGCATATTTAGTGAACTGTCGTACCAGGCAGTCCGAAAGATATCATCTTAAAGAAAAGTACATATTTTAGTAAAAATTCCGATTTAGTTAATCAACATAATTTAAAGAATTTCACTTTTCTAGTACAAATATTCTAGTTTTCTAGGAAAATAATATGTTGTCGCAATCTTTTTACTTTTGTAAAAATCAATGGAATTATCCAGGGGAACAGAAGATTTCTGCGGGCCGAACCTCATTTGAAAATCTTAAGTAAGGCATTTCACAAATCATTTTTTGAGTCAGCTATTATAATTACTATACTTAACATTTTAAGAATGTCACCTCCAATCAAAAGGTGAAATTTCGTTGCCCATGCAATTATATCAAATCAATAATTATTTCTGTGTTTTTTTAGTCGTCTTTTATTTTTTTAAAATAATTGGTTTTTAGGTTTTGAATTGCATTTTATATATATATATATAGTTTAACTAAATTTAAATAATTTTAATTGATTTTAGCGGCTATTCATATATGGTCATCAAAGTTTACAATTTTTTACAATTCTTTAAAAACAAAAAAGCACAATTTTTTGCAATGATTACTTTATTTGTGGTCCCTAACAGCTTTTTATAAATCTTAAGAAATTTATAAATTTTAAGAAATTTTAGGAATGTCCCGGGTGGATAATAACGATATTGTGTTCAAGTTTAGTCATCATCTGCTTATTTCCGTTCGGTTAACTTATTATAATGGCATATTCCAAGGCGTCAAGTTTGAATAATAATAGTTGGACCTTAATATACAAATCCAACGCCTAAGTAAAACGCTCTTATCGGAGCACTATATCCATATCCCGCTCTTCCCGAAGAGAGTTTGTTGCAGCTGCAATTGAGTGGGAGTGAGTGAGTGAGCATGAGTCACCGCTGTTAACTGCACTCAACTTGGTCTTTGTTATTGTCTGTGGTTGTGGCTGCAAGCCAGCGACCAAGCCCACTCCTCCCACCCCCTCCCCCACTGTTGGTCCTTCGAGCCGAAAGCAGCACGTGTTCATTTTCGTGTGCAAAGTCAGTTGGAATGCCAAGTTGAAGTTTTGTGTGTGCGCCTTTTTTTTGTGCAGACTCTAGCCGACTGTGTGTGGGTGTGGAAAAGCGTGTGCATCTGAAAGATACATTTTCTAGATCGCAGCATGTTTGGTTTAGTTGGCAGCTAAATTTCACTACGTGCAGTTTGCCGTGGGTGTTGAAGTCTAAGTTACGGAATTCCAACTATGTATGTTTCGCAATAACAACTTTGCCGGCTGCTGATAACGATAAAACGGCGAGTTCCCGAGTTGATTGAGTGAATAAGATTAATTATTACTATGATGAGTAAATTATGAATGTGCATTATCATACGACCGAAAAGATATAGTGAGATAACTGTCTCCAAGATGATGTGAAAGGAAAGCTAATGAGCTAACAAGTGTAGAGCAGATGATGATTCACAGTATTAAATTAGTGAGCACACAAAGCAGAAGCAAACGTACTTTTTCTATTTTTAGTGTAATATACATTTTAAGTATTTTCATACTAAAACTATTAATTGTATATAACCCTGAGTTTTTTAATTTTTGAAAATATTGTTTGGCAAGCTATTTAAATAACATGGAAATGATAGTATTTCCAGTAGAAACTCGACTGTAGAACGGTTGTTTGCGAAGATGAGCTAGCACGTTCCATTAATTAGTAATCGCTTTGGGTTTTCCCTCGCTTTCGTTCGGTCTTTTTCGATTCTTGGAACCCTATGCTAGTTTGGTTATAATTTCACAATCAACTCATGGGTGCCACTGTAATTGAAGTCTTAGCTCTGACTTCCTATGTGCAGTCGCTTTTAACTGGAACTTTTGGGTTGTCGAGTATTTCTGTCTACCCCATCGGCGAACCTTACTCCCAAAGCGAAGGTTCCCAGCACTAAACCCCCGTAAACCCCCATCACCGGATTTTAGCCTAAAAATGCTGTGTACGTGCCGCTAGTGCAGCTCCATAGATCGTCCGGTGGTAATCAGTTTACGCTGACGTCGTTCGGTTACCACTTTCCCATTGCCCCCCTAAATCCCCTTTTCCCACGCCCCTGACCCTGCAGATACAGCTGGGGTCAGTATACTAGAATAGTGTCAATAAGAATGTATAATTGTGTAAATTGTGTAGAGATGCATTTTAAAGAAAGGTAACAAAATCTATAGAAAATTTAAAAAAAAATAGTTCCCTAAATTTAATTAACTCAAATTTAATCTATTAAACTTTGCAATCGGAAATTTTAAAATTTGTATGATGTAGAGCAAATGCTAAAAATTCGTTCTGTTCAATTATCTCAAACTATACATTAGATATTAATACTTCCTTTGCAAGATTAGGCATTAGGGATACGTCTATCATAATATATGTTTATGAATATAGATGATTATGCAGTCAAATGTATTATGGATTGAAGTGTTACATAATCTTGACCTCATCTGTGGATAAGTATTCATATTTATATTCAAATCCAAGTGCAAGTCGTGTAGCTACATGCGAAACTCTATGTAAACCGAAATGGTTTCATTTATTTTTTTCCCCAGTTCTATTTTGCTGCTGTTCGTTTTTCATGAACCGATACTAACACGAGTGCTACTATTTCAGTTGGTTACTAAACATTTAGTGCCTCCCCCCGCCCAAGTTGCCCCTCAAATAATCGAGAGAAGCGGGCTGACTAAGCGAACCAGCAACAAACGGCAGCGGATGAAATGTCGCGCCATATTAACCATATTGCTCAGTAGCAGAAAGGGGGCTTTTCAGGGGTTTTTGCATACTGCCCATGCCCCACGATGTGGGGCTCGTAGCCCCTGTCTTGTTCCTCCTGCTCATTGCCCCCTTTCGCACCCCGCACCCCGTGGGCCCGCATCTGTCGCCTGGCAGTTAGCTGCAGTTGCTCCATTTGTTTGTTTGTGTTGGGCTGCCAGCCAGCGTCCAAGTACGGTGGAGCTTTATAATAACTTACAATATTTCTTGCTCTAGGAAGGAGGTTTTTACCTACTGTGCTCTGCTACACAATCCCATTTAATCGTAAGGATATGGAGGTGAATGATTGGATTTATTTAAAATTTT